TTGAATAAATTTGAAAAAAAAAAGAATTTAAAATTGTTAATGAGATATTTACATGACTTCGACTTCATTATTATAACAAATATAGCATATATTTATCTTTTTATTTTATTGAAACTATTTTAGAATTATTGTCGATTATAAATGATCCATCTGATTGTATATTGTTTTGTGCAATATCTTTCATTTTCAATTCTATAAGAATAACAAAATGTGATAACGAAAACAAGTGAATGTATGATTACTCATCATTGTCAGAAACTAGGGAGATTCAAACCTTGAGTAAAGTCGATTTCTATCCTTCAAGTAAACAGGTTTTCTTTCATCCATATCCATCTTTTGAGATCTGACTTTAAAACTCTGTATGCTAAAAAAGACTTTTATTTATTTCATAATGTTGTATATAGAGCACAATTAGGTCAAACTTAAAATGAAAATAAGAAAGCACCACTGGCCACACTCTTCAGCTATATTAATATTTTGAAAAACCTTATTCCAATTTTCCATGTAGTAAGGATATCGATAAAGATAAAATTCGTCATTTAGACGGGACCACTTCTAGTGAAAATCAGTGGAAAACAAAGAATACCAATTGATATGAATCAATTCATCGGTGACTATTATGATTTGACAATACATCGTCGATATATCTAAATGCAGCACAGTTGAATCTCTTCAGAAAAAAATATAACAGTTACAGTTGTTTTGCCTATTTCGAACAGCCTTGTTATAATCACGTTTATTAAAAAGTTTTGGTAAAAACATTGGAAATATAAAAAAAAAGATAAAAAGGCTACATATAAAGTTAGAGGATAAAAACATTGTTTTGGGTTTTTGTTTTGAAAGCGATGATATGAAATTATTTCCAACATAATCCTTAGCGGCGTCATTCATATTGATGTGTCACTCTTATTCAGCATTATTAAATAACTTCGTACATGTAGTCATATAGATAAATTATTTGTAGTTGGATATGATTTTATCCAAAAATTTGTGGGATTCTTTATCACCGAGCCTTAGTTTCATACCATGTTTAATGCATTACAACCATTGTATCAACTTTTTATACTGGTCTCCACTTTGTTTTGCTTCATCACGCTTATGTAAAAACGATAGTTACGTCACAACGTTACTTAACTGTGGAGTATCAAAAATGCAAATGAAATATATCTACAGGATGTATGGGTGAATATGTGATAATTTATAGCTACTTTTAATGTGTGATTTTGCCACATCTTTTGCAAGTGTTTCAAACTCAAAGACTCAAAGACGTATAATGTTAAACATCGTCTATCATGACCATCAATTAAAACTGGAGCTTTTAAAGTGAAGGCTCTCAATACACTTAAATCGTTTGTGGTCTAGCACTGCTTAATGCCAATTTTATCAAATTGAAATCGAAACAAACAATTTGGAAATACGCTACCCATTGCTGTTCTATATGTCGAAAATGTTCACTTATTTGGATGTGTTGCCATTTACCGGCGAACGGTTTTAATCTACACCATTAATCGTTATTTAGGACAATTGCGTATTGATGAATCATAAAAGTGGAACGCCCTGTGTGACTCGATGCATCGATGTTAAGGTATAAAGCAAAAGACCCGCATATGTCTCTTTCAAGTATCCAGCGTTCGTTGAACGGAGTCAAAGATCAATTTTGCTGTACTCAAATTTAACTCTAAAACAATGCAGAAGGTATCTTGTTCGTGAAACACAAAATATTAATCTTTGTGCAAAGCTAAAACTTAAGTTGACAATCTTTGGAATATCTTCTAAAATTTTATAGACAAAGAACAAATTTTATTTCCGTTTACGAATAACAAATTTGTTCTTTTAAATGTAATGCAATTTGCCTTTTGTCTTGTATTTTTTTTTCCAACGGTATATTACTTTTGACTTTGAAATTTATGTGTTATATCCTTTTTTTAATATGTACATCTTACTGTAAAGTTACTTTAACGGATGAATGCCCTAAAAAAATTTAATGCATCTTTAATTTTTGGGTTTTTAATGTAAACTGAAAATCAAGTCTGTTTTTTTTATGTAATGCATTTTTAAACAAAGATAAAGTCAGGTTTTTTCAAACATTTCATTTTTATTTTTAAAATAAAAAAAAATATTTTGCGTTCATTGTATGAATTGTTTCTCCAGGACAACAATTCCTTTTTCACAGATGTCCCTAAGATATTTATGTGGACGCCGTCTGATTTTCATACGTTAAATTTATACAATGTAAGCAATATTGAATACTTCCTAGTAAAAATTGTAAAGTCTTAAAGGTAACCAAACAATGCTCTATATTAATGTTTGTAACCTTAAATTGAATATAGAGGAAGTAAAACGGTATTTTCAGTGCAGAATACAACCACTTACTACAAATATAAATCAGAAATAATTCTTTAAACATGTTTAACTTTTGCTAGCATTAGTGATACTTACTTTTTCCAACCACCTTTTCGGATGTTGGACCCTAACAACTGAATGAACTTGTTCGATAGCGTCTGAAATCTGGAACAGGTGATTGTCGGATGAACTCAATTATCCTTGAAGTGTCAGGTCTTCTAGGTGCTTTGAATGTATAACCTTATGACTAAAGTATTCAAACGGTTTTATTTTTTTTTTCTCCCTTTTTGATGTTTTTAAGATGACGCTATTCTTATAAGACATCTACTTCCCCGAAAAATAAATCGTCTATGATGTTTTTTTCTAAATAGAAAGGTTATCTCAAAAAATTGTTTGCAGTTCACTCACGAAATATCTCGAGATAAAAACATTGATAAAATATGAAATCATGTGACGATTACGAGGGGTTATCAAAAAGGTTCATAGACTGGAGTTATAAAATTAGTACTATATAGTCTCTGCTTTTAAAGTTTATAAGGAACATTGAATAACAAAAAATAAAGACATATTTGAAATTTTAGCTTGATCAATTCATTTTTTGCCAAATTATTATAAAATAAAAACAACAGTATATAATCATCTGGCGCGGTTGCCCTGCATGATGCCCGCCAACGTCAATGTTGTTTTTCAATGCCAGATTTTTCTACCTGATACACTTGATATGATTAGACTGGAGTTGAGTAAGACTTTTTTACCCGTCTTGTTTGCATGACTTTACAAAGTTATGAACAGTGGTTTTTAATTCTTATAATATTGCAAATTGATTTATACATTCAAAGAGATCATTGCTTGATTGCGCCAGCATATTTTGCTTTAGGAGTATAAAACATGATCAACGTCATTTTGACGTGATTTATTTTTCACATATGACTACAAATAGCCATTATTTGGCCATTCACTTTCTCCGAATCCATTGCAGCATTAAATACTGCAAGTACACTAGATTCATTAAACTTCTCCGTATCCAGTTTGAGGATTTCTTGGTTAGTACCAGTTTTTTTTTAACAGGCAAAACTTTATAAAATATTCGAAAATGAAACTCATCCCCAAATTTGACGTCATTTCGAGGCCTTTTGTGGTTGGACACACCTGCAAAACTTATTATAATATTCCAACAACTTACCAATTGAGATAACAGTATCATATTTTATGGAACAATAGTGTCCTAACACATAACTGAATTAACGGGATATTTGTATGTCAAATGTTCATATCAGAAGAGTTTTTATCAGTTATGCTTTGGTTGTAAAAACGTCATGTTCTAGGTTGCGCCTCCTGGACATAATATGGCTTTCAATAACATAATTAATTTATGAAAAATAAATTAAAATTATGATTTGTTTTCTTTTCTAAAGAAAGGAAAGATAATGCTTACGAGTGGTTATAAACTCCATTCGTGTACTTGAAGCGGGTTAAATTTTAAAGTGCTAGTCCACGAACTTTTTTATATCCCCTCATATATAAATTTTATTTCAATTTAATCTCAAATCTGTATATGTTTTTTTCATATATATATTATGCAAGTTATATGGAATTTAAAGGGAAAGTAAAATGTTATTGCTCATTCATTCATTCATTCTTTTCATTAAATATTTTTTTTTAAGAGTGAGTCTACGAAAAAATCATGCAAAATTAAAAATTTGTTACAAAAGTCGCATTTAAAAAAGACGATTTTAAATACATAATTTTGAAGAGAATGGACCTATATAACTATTGTGAAAAAAATTTCAACAAAGGTGTCATCCTAATCGGGATAGCCCCAAATCTATTTATAGCCGACTGATGGGCTTGATCTTCAAGGAAAAAGAGCACTTTTATAAACCCTTCAAAAATATATAATGAAACAATGATTTTGAAAAAAATTTGTGTTCTATGTTGAATTGATAAGTAAAACATTTTGTTTATAGATGAGTTTTGTTTACCAGATCTTATACATTTGGGAAATTCAAAAGGTTTTATAAAAGAAAATCTACTTGACTTTTTATATGTCTATGAGAAACGCAGAGCTGTGTTTGATACAACGGGTGAAGTTTTGTTTATAATCATCTATCTGATTTAATGAGTTATTTTACACAATATCTTTCAAGGAATTTCTTGGATTTACAATGAATCTCAAAATATACACTTTTGAATCTCTTTATTTTTTTACCGGAATTATCGATCTTTTCGAACTCTTCAGTGCAGTCACCGGTCACGGTACATAGTGGTAGAGCGTTCGCTGGTGTGTGTGATTTTGGTGAAGATTGGGAAACAGCAATATATTCTCGATCACTGGCGCCGCGTCATACCTAAGACGTAAACACAGGTAGTGACTGTTCCTTCGCCAAGCGCTCGGCACTAGAAGTGAAAGTCACGGGTCTTTCGGATATGACCTTAAAAACGTAGGTCCCCTGTCACGGTAGGCGCTGGCACGATAAAGAACCCTCACTGCTCAATGGCCCTGAGTGCCGAGTATTGGTCTAAATTTGAAGCCCTTCACCGGCATACGGTGACGTCTCCATATGAGTGAAAAATTCTCAAGAGGGAAGTTAAACAATATACAATAAATCAATCAATCAATCAGTGCAGTCATTATTTATATGGAGGGAAAATGGCAGCGATGTCGTCTGGTGTGTGTGATTTTAGTGAAGATTGTGAAGAAACGGCGATATATTATTTGAAAGACTGTGTTAAACAAACCTTTCACCACCTCTGATATTTGAACGCTAACTCTAAGGGTATAGATCTGCTCGAAAGTTATTCAATTCTATCCAGAGCGGGTGTCAATGTCATCACGCTAGCACAGCTAAACAAGAAAATTTGCCAAAGACACAGAGACGCGCTTGGTCTGTACTGGAAACGGAGCAAGAGATCTCATGTACATCCCTTTCATGGTTCATCTAAAACGAAACCAGACAGAGGCATCACACCAGTTTTGAGTCGGGAACTTTTGTTGCGTCTACAGCTGCCTGTCCCGATAGGTGAAGGTAATAAGAAATTTGTCAAACTGACCAAGTTATGAAAGAATATCCTTGAATTATTATATTTAAACTTAAAATTTTTCCTGAACAAGTATTGAATATATATGATGCCTAAACTTGCTACTCATATGTAAAAAGTTTATGGCAACAAAATAACTCAACAATAGGTTAAGCTGCAGATCTGTAGACATCCCGAAGAGCTACAGTGCCTTCCATTGAAAAAAAATGTATACTCAGTATTCATTGCATACAAAAGTTGCACTCAGTTCTGGATTAATTCTTCCAAATTCTTACCTCAGTTGCAAAAAAAAAAAAAAAAAAAAAAAAACTAGATTTCAAAAAAAAAAAAAAATCTTATTCCTCTATCAAGTACTCTTGTGGTTTACATATGTACGAAGGGTGCCTTGCAAATCAAAATGGCAGTATAAATAGGAATAATTTTCATTGATCTCAATTTCAGGGCCAGAAGAACGATTAAAAATAGTAATGTTTTGATGTGGAAAAAGTGAAAAGATGTGGTAGGAACACACAGATACGCATATTTTTGTGCGCAATAAATATGCATTTTTTTCAATGGGTGTAGCTCTCCAGTCTGTCAATTATTTTTTTTTTCAGAGAGGTACAGTTCTGCAGCTACAACAGGTTGGGACCACTCGCCCAAATGGGATATAATAGTCTGTTTGGAATATAATATTCTAAATGGATAATCCGATATAAAATGTGCAGTGCAAAAAATGAATATTGCGAAAAAATTTCCAAAGTAGTAAAAATGTTCATTTTTTACACTGTAGATTTATATCCCATTTAGGATGTTATATCCAAAATGGACTATTATATCTCATTTGGGCATGTGGTCCCAACCTGCAACAACAGAAACACAAAATATAATGTTTTACTGAAGAACATGTAGGCTAGAATGAATACATAGATTAGTAGACCTATACTTTTCCCCATATTGTCACTTGTTTCCAAGTTTTATTAACCCCTAACCCCAGGACAGAAAAGTGGGTATGAGAGCCCTGTTACAAATGTTTATCATGCAAGCACCACTTACATTGATCTAATTAAGGTGAAGTAAAATAATATTCGGTCAATGCCCTAAATAAGCATTTTGCATGTATTCGTAAAATTTATTCCTCAATTTTAAAAGCATTGTGACATCAAATATATTGCAGTGTTATACCATGTGGAATTTTAGTAAATACCGAAAATATGTGCTGAGATCAGCTGAATAAAGTTCGTTTTGAATGTAATATGTGAAATTATGTTGCTGGATGAAAAAAAAATAAATGGTTACTACCTTGATATACATGTATATACATTATTTTGGCTCAGATTGAAATGTCAATAGTCAGACAGTAGGGAGAGCTGGGGCATCCAAACAACTTTTTTTTAAGACTGCCTTACCATGTGTGTTTTTATTTGATTCATATTGATTTTTAAAATTAAATTTAAAATGTTACTGAGGTCAGCCAAGTCTAGTAAATCATGATGTCAAAAAACATGTAAGGTCTTTTGAACCTCATGTATGAGGTCAGATTAATAGATATTTTGTACCAAAAGCACATACTAAAAGCACATACTGAGCTAAGGCCTAATTTTACACCTATGAATTTACCACTGACCACAGTAAGACCAAAATATGTTTAACGTCTGAGACCATTTTTTTTGTAAATTATTGTGTACAGGTATAGGCAAGATATTAGGAACACTTGCATTTACTGATCATAATTAAATTTTGTAATAGGACGCAAGTATGTTCATCAGTCGTAAAGCTACTAGGTCTCAACAATTAGCTTAAAAACTGGCAAAAATGACTTAGTATCCATGAAAAACAGAAAATTTCATGAGAAGACATATTAATAATTCTTTTTAAAAGTCTTACTTTAAGCTGTATGCAGAACATGTGTATCTAAACACAAGGGAGATCTCAGTCTTGGTGAACAAGTTGTGGAAGAAATAAAAGGTAATTACTTTTATTGAATAAATATATCATTAAAATTTCCAGTTAATATAACAGGGATGAATTCACATTTTTTTTGGTTCATTGGAGTTGGGTGTGTGTGTAGATTTACCAAATTATGCATGCCAAAGAAGACATAATTTCTTTTTACTTAGACAGAGTTGAGCAGCTGACCAATTCAACCAGTGCCTCATTACCTCCACCTAATCTTAGAGACTGCACTGAACTAGTGAAAGTCAATGGTATGATGTTAATGAATGGTTTCATTAAACTTTCAGACTATGCAAAATCTTGAATAAGAAAAAAAAGTCTTGTATCTATAAGTCATCTGAGTTTTTCAGGTGACATTTTTCTATTGAAATTTGTCTGTCATCTGTAGATTCTAAATTTTACAATCCATGACCTCTGAGGTTGGGGGTGGGGGTGCACAATATAAATTTGCAAGGGGGGAAATCTGGTTAAGAACAGTATCATGGCTAAAGTTCCTGGCCAAAGGGTGAGCAATGTAGCCCATCGGCCTTTCTGTTTGTCATCACTAATAATTTTATATATAGTTATTTCTAAAAATTGTCTACAATTTCAGATGTTAACAACAATGCTAATACTGCTGAAGAAACTGATGTAATATCACATGTCTCTCAGTCAATTGAGCTTGACCAAGGTGAGCATGTACAAATAATTCTGTGGTAATTCTTTGCTCTCATTTATTATGCCCCCTTCGAAAAAGGGAAGGCATAGTGCTATGCTGCTGTCTGTTGGTCTGTCTGTCGGTCCATTTAGTTTCTGTTCATTTTCTTCACAACCTTTGCACATACTGAAATGAAATTCGGTATACAGGTAAATCAGAAGAATATCTATGTCAAGTTGTTTCGGGTACGATTGCACCATTTTTGACAGAGTTATGCCTCTTTGACTTAGAAAAATTCCAATTATTTACAGTTTCTGTTCCTTTTCTTTAAAGAGGTTGCACACAATGAAATGAAATTTAGTATACAGATTAGTCAGGTGAATATCTAGGTCAAGTTATGTATCTAGGTTAACTTCTGTTTTGGGTATGATCGCACCATAATTGACAGAGTTATGCCCCTTGGTTTTAGAAAAATTCCAATTACTTGCAGTTTCGACTCATTTTCTCTTTGGAGAGGTTGCACATTTGAAATGCAATTTAGTATACAGATTAGTCAGATGAATATCTAGGTCAAGTTATGTTTTGTGTATAATTGAAAGAGTTATGCCCTTTTGGACTTAGAAAAAATTCCAATTTGTGAGGGAGGGGGGGCATAAGAGTTTTACAAACATCTCTTGTTTCACAATGGACATTGTAGGGCTATATAAAATTGAAATTCTGGGTCTCAGGCCCGCGCGCATCCATTTTGAGTTGGCCGCATTACTAATTTTATTGTAGTATTTTTCATAAAAAAAAGTTGGTATTGCAGAGACTAATCCCGAAAAAAAAGTTCTGTCCTCATAAGGATAAGGGCGAGGCCACAATGGCGGATCAAAGTTTTACATACAAATATATAGGGAAATTCTTTAAAAATATTCTTCTCAAGAATAGCAGAGGGATGAGTGATCATATTCATATGAAAAATTCTTTAAAAATTTTCTTTTCAAGAAAAGCAAAAGCATGAATGATCATTTTCATATGGAAGTGTAATATATATGACCCCCGGGGGTAAATTCTTTCAAAAAAGGTAGCTGCAGAACTTCTCTCTTGAGAAAAGAATAGCAAAGAGCATTGTAAAAGCCTTCGATTTACTCCGACGACTTTTTGTCGCTACTTTAGGTATTTATTTCGCTTTTTCTGGCTTTTAGATTAGTGTCCTATGATAATTCATATACATGTATTTAACTCTTATATTTGATACTTTGTTTACCTTTTGGTCCGAAACAGTCCGGTATATAGTTTTGTAATGTCGGTTTAAAAGAGTTCCATTGCGATGTCCGTAACCACAAACAGTCATTTGTTAGCATTGAGAGGTAAGTAAATGATCAGAAATTGAAGTTGAGTGTTTGATTAATTATCAAATACAATTTAGAGTTATTTTCAAAGCTGGGGAAAGTACAAAATACTTGAAAAAATACCCATAGTGAGGGACTAAAAATCTTCGGCATAAATCGAAGGTTTTTACAACGCTTGGATCTGTAGCTCTCTGTTTTATCTGTCCGAAATTTTTTCAAGCAGAGAGCTACAGATCTGCAGCTAATGTAAAGGGCAATAAAGCCACAAAGTCAAAGAAATATGCAATCATCCTTAGTTAGTGTAGATTCAAGTTCAAATCATATCCTCTCCCCTTTAAGGATTGGTTGGAACCACTTTTGGGTTTAAAATTTTCAATAATAAACTGATTTCTGCTCTTTTCCAAGCTACAGTGCTCAAGTGAGCGATGTGGCCCATGGGCCTCTTGTCTTCTATACTCATTGGCATTCATCAATTGTATGTAATTATTTCTTTATTCTTTACAGATATCACAATGTCAGACAGTGAAAGTATCCATTTGTCTCAGTCCACTGCAACATCCAATTGGTCTGACATGCAAAAGTCCTTAAGGGAGAAATACAACGATGCCATGCAAATGTTGACAAATGGACAAATGGAATGCCTACGCTCTCAAGTAAGCCAACCTGTGCAGGACTTGCAGTACTCAACAAGAGCATATTATGTGCATCATGCAAAAGCTGCTTTTGAATATATTTGTGACATCATTGCTCCTGGCCAGAGTCAACAACTCCTTGATGAGGTGATCAACAGTTACAAAGGCCCTGCTGTAATCCAGCCAGATTCAATGACAGACACAGTGATTGAGGCATACAAAAAGGCTACTGATCACACAACTCGCACTCAGATTCTGTCCCTCATCACCAGTAAATATAGTAAAACTGTGTTGTTGAGGATGATTGAAGGTTTGACAATTAATCCACTATATAGATGTGGCAAGAAAACATGCAGCTACATTCTGGCCTGGTCATTATCTTACACCACCTAAAATTGTGCGCATAAGAATTTCAAAAGGGAGGATCCAACACTTTGTTGAATTCTTATCAGCTCCTATGTACCTCCACACCGTGGGCTTTGGTTCAAAACACTTGAAACTTTCATCGGGATTGGAGGTCAAGGTACCTAAAGTAATCCGCACAATGATTGCCTCGAGACTCATCAATGCATACATGTCATATTGTCAAGACAATGAAATTGTACCACCATCAAGGGCAACGCTATACAAGATAGTGAAAGTTTGTGCAGCTTCACAGTTGAAGTCATTACATGGCATCGACAACCTTGCCAGTGAAGGGGAATCGGGAATTTCTACCATTGAAAAAGCAGTAGAAAAGTTATCTGAAGTGGGACTTCATGACGGAAAAGTGAAAGACTTCAAGGATCAATTACAAGCTGTAAAACTGCATCTGAAGAACGAATTCAAAACTCACCTCAGTACAAAAAGCACATGCATTGAACATTGCATGCAATATGCTCTATCTGATTTGCCATGTGACCATCAACATTCAGAGACCTGCATATCTTGCCGACAAATAAAAAATGTCACCACTGAAATTTCTCAATGCCTTGAAGATGTTCACTGTGATGCAAGTGTTAGAGAGGAAATTCAGCATGATGTAGAGTTATCCTGTGAGAAAATTGTGAACTGTCGAGATCACTGCATACGAACTGTTAATCAGGATGCCTGTAAAAAAAGATATGCTGAACAATCTTAAAGATGATCAGAGACTCATAATTATTGACTGGGCTATGAAGTATTTGCCACAGAGATTTAGAGAAACTCAGAGTGAATGGTATGGAAAGCAAGGGATCAGTTGGCTTGTTTCATGTGTACTCTTACGAAGAAATGATGCAGAAGATGATGAATCAGTGGACATAATTTCTTATGTGCACCTTCTTCAACATGGTACACAGGGTTGGTTCACAGTTACAAAAATCCTGATCCACATTTTGCAGATGCTTCATGAAAGTCATCCACATTTGAAAGAAGTTTTTTTGCGCTCAGATAATGCAGGATGCTACCACTGTCTTCCCCTTCTGACGTGCCTCTGGAAATTAAGGAACAACACGCATGTTACTATCAGAGAATATAATTTTAGTGAAGCCCAGTCAGGAAAAGATTTGTGTGACTCTCGCACAGGAAGTTGTAGAATGCACATCTTGAACTACACCAACGAAGGCAATGATGTTACAAATGTGTACGAGATGAAGAATGCACTTGAGAGTCATGGGGGAGTCCGGAATACATAAACTCTCCCCAACCGTGCGCAGAAAAATCTTGTGGCGTAAATTGCGCATAATTTTCATAAAAGGATTTATGGCGACATGGTCAAAGACTTCAATATAAAAGCATAACGCTACAGTTGTGTAGATACCATAAATACTGAAATTTAAATACTTGTGCTAATATGATGCCATAATTTATTGTACTCGCCTATACGTAGGTTTTTGGGCTTTGAATTTTGAACAAAAGCTTATGTCAGACTTAAGCCTAGTCCTTGAAAATGATTTTTTTTTGTAAAGATACTCCGATCCTCAACAAGGAGTGTAAGAATTTAATTTGTAATTCAATTAAAAAGTCTCAAAAAGAAGATATTTATACACTGTGCATTGTACATTGATCAAAGTAAATAAAGAAATCAAGAACATTATATGTAAAGAATATATGTATCGAATTTCTGCAATTTCTTTAGAAGCCTGGATACCTAAAACTTTGATTAAATTTGAATTGAAAAATGTATATTAAGTGTTTTATTCGCTTTACTGAAAATTTATTTGAGATTTTTTTAATTTTTCTTATATTATATGATTACATTTAAAGATGAAGTTTGAAGAATTGTCGTGTGTAAAACACATTACTTTAAGAATTCAGAGACATTTTATGCGCACTTTCAATTATAGTCTTTAGAGAACTCAAAATGTAATATGTACCTTGATCTCCAATGGAAAGAACTAATATAGGCCGTTGGCCTGCTGTTTAATCCATATTCACTGTATACTTTCTGTATATTTTTAATAAAAAAAACTTCTTAAACTATCAATTATAGTCAATGCCTGATTTCCAAAACCGGAGGCGGAGGATCTGAGTACTTTAAAGAAGAAATTTATTAGTATTGTAACAACTCGATTATAAAGGCTGAAACTTAATCTGATGCAGGAAATGAAGATCTAAGGTTACCACATTTACGATTAAAACACTAGTATCTAATAAAATGACCCTGTACCTGTTAAGATGCCCAGGAAATAGAAATTAAACGCTAATAAATACAGTAGTTTGTTTATCTGAAATTAAATACAGATTCTAACAGAATACCACCGGGTAAATGACAATTTTTTAAGGGAATTTACCTGGAAACATACAACGGACTATAATGAAAGATATGGAGATAACGAACAGTATATAGGATCAAAAGTCAAAATATGAGCAGAGCAAACACGGATCTCCAAACATCAAGCCTGGGGCCATAAAACTTAGACGAGCTCACTTTTGATCTCAGTCTCACTTTTTTCAAAGGAATATATAGTGGAAAAGTGAGACTGAGATCAAAAGTGAGCTCGTCTAAGTTTTATGGCCCCCAGGCCTGAGGTGGTATCATGTGCCAAGGAGTGGTAAGCATCACCTGCCGAGCGGTCACACCCACATTCGTCAATTCAGTGTATAAATAATGGACTAACAATAAATATGAAAAACTTCAATCAGCATTTGACTAAATGATTAATTGTGGACAAAGATTGACGTGTAACAGTTAGCATAGGATGGATTGGTATGACATACAAGGAAGATTGCAATGTGTACACTGTACCACCCAAACAGGTTATGAAGTGACTAAGAATAGTTACATTTATTTTATATGATTAAGATTATTAATTTCGCTTCGGGTCCATTATTTCAGTCCCAGAAAAAGTGTAATTTAAACTTTTTTTCTCTCATATTTGCATTGTTTCGCAAAAAATTCTCTTGCACAACATTATCTCATTGTCATGTTTAAACCCTGTATAAAAACAAGTTTCCCACGTTAAAGTATAAATGATCAACGTGATTCACAATGATGTCATAGGTAGTTCAACAACAAGCTCAACAAAATCCCAAATAAACCAAAAATCAATAATAGTTTCATTGGCTTAAAACTATACTCTGCAAATATTTGATGAAAATCAGTCATATGTATTCTTATAAGTAGCGTTTGCACTCAGGTTTAAATCGTCTAATGGGGTTAAAGTTTTGTCCAAAACTCTGCATCCGACCAGTAATAAGGCACATGTTTTATTTTTAAACATCAAAAGGAAAAAATATACAATTGGAGCATAATTATATTTCAACAAGAAACTCCTTGTCCCAGGCTTTATAAGATTTGATAAAATGAAAAACCATATTCTTACTCATATATTTATATACTAAAATAATCATGCAACAGTTATAATGTATTTAAGTAACACTGATCACGATTAAAAGATAAATGCTCCTTTTTCTCAAAACAATAAATGTTATTCATTTTTTATATTACATCCTTAAACATAAGTTGTCAATATTGATGTCTCTCTTTTTTGAATTTCGAAGAACTGTAGCAGATTCAAAATACAATAGTGAAAATAATTGATATATTTGTAAATATGTTTATCTGAAGCATTAACACTAACATGTGTAAAGCCATATTAATGCTGAAATACCTTTCTCGATAAAGAAATATTCAAATATATTAAATATTTTTTAGGTTGACTATTCAAATCGTTGTATTAAATTAAAAGAAATTTGCTTCTTTCTATATTTTTCAAAAAGAAATGGGTTCTGTGAAAAGGATTTGGATATCTTTTTTATTTATCTCTTTGTCTGTATCTATCTCTCCAAACTATCTGACTGTCTGTCTTTGAAACTTTCAGAGCTTAAAAACTTCCCCTCACAATATAGAAAACATAGTAAAGCTCCAATAATTACCATTTTAAAGAGCATAAAGGAATATATAAATGTTTTGGGAAGTAAAATATCATTGATCAGGAAATGTGGATGTGTGTTTCTCTCAGATATTGCAAGCCATTTATGAAATTTATATCATTAAAGATTGCAACTGCATCGCTTAATGATACAAAAGTGGGTATCATTAAGCATCGAATATGTCGATATTTGCTTGTTTCATTAAGCGTCAGTGTTGCTCTGCATTTGTGACGCTTAATAATATAATAATTCTATCATTAAGCGGCGATTTAGCATTAGCGGTTGAGAATGTCAGCTTTTAATGCAATGATTTATGACATTAGGCGTTGCAATTGCAACGCTTAATGCTTTTTGCATCCTAAAGCGGCGTTTTATCATTAGAGGTTGCTACAACGCTTCCTTTTGTTTTTTTTTTCTTTTTTATACTGAATTTTATGTTAAGTACTGATGATCCAATATAAGGAACCTACACTATTTATATATATTAAGATTATTGTTTATCTCTTCCAGTTAAAGTTGAAATCGAAAATAGATTTTTAAAAAAAATTAGGACAACATTTTAGTTATCTTTACTTTGCACATTTTGTTGAATAATCGGCTGATTTTTTCAAAGTTAGATTTTTTTCCTTCTGTTATCATAGCATTAAATTTATCCTTTTTAGAAAAAAAATATATTGCAAAAAAAAGTGGCACTGAGGTTTTCTAGTTTGAAAGTCGTTACACAACGATGTTTCAAAGTAAAATTAATGACAGAACAGTCGGTTCATCTGTTTTATCTAGGAGCTTTGTTGCAACCACTATTGAAAAATAACAACCACTATTGAAATAATGAGATTGCATTTCAATAGCAAACATAGTTAGTAACCACTTTTGAAATACAACCACTATTAAAATAATTATATCAATAGTGGTTGAAAGTGCAATTCAATAACAAATATAGGTAATAACCACTTTTGAAATACTACTACTGTTGAAATATTTATTTCAATAATGGTTGAAGTTCATTTCAATAACAAACATAGGTAATGACCACTATTGAAATACGACCACTATTGAAGTAATTATTTTAATAGTGGGTGAAAGTGCATTTCAATAACAAACATAGATACATGTAGTAACCACTATTGATAAACGACTACCAATGAAATAATTAATTCAAAAGTTGGTTAGATTCATTTCAATAACAAACATAGATTGCAACCACTATTGAAAGAAAGTTCACTTTTGAATTAAAAAATTCAATAATGATTAAATTACTGATTTCAATAATGCATGGAACAATGAATCCAATAAATATTTAAATAATTATTTCAAAAGTTGCTGACGCGGTGAAAGCTTTCTTTCAATACTGGTAGTATATTTCAATAGTGTATTAAACCTATGCTTACCATATTGAAATGCACTCTCATCACTATTAAATAATTATTATACCCCCCCCCCCCGCCAGAAAAGTGGGAGGGTATATAGTAATCGGGATTTCCGTCCGTCCGTTTGTACGTTCATCCATCTGTTAAGCTTTATCTCTTATACACAACTCCTCTTATACTATTGAATGAAATTTAATAAATCTTTCACAGAATCTTTATTACATATTGCCATTGTGCACCTCCTATTTTACTTGTTTTATTCGACACGTATTTTAGATTTCTCAATGCAAAACATGGACATTGCAATTTTATGTTTACCTATGGCGTCACATAATAGAAGCTTGTTGATAACATTTGATGGGACGAGTTATTCCTCTTTACACATTACCGTAAAACAATATATAGCAACACATGGACATTATGGGAGGCTGGGGGATTCATTTAGTGAGCTCATTGCTCACAGTACATCTAGTTTCAGTAGTGGTCGTATTTCAGTAGTGGTTATTACCTATGTTTGTTATTGAATTGCACTCTCACCCACTATTGAAATAATTATTTCAACAGTGGTCGTATTTTAATGGTGATTACTAACTATGTTTGTTATTGAAATGCACTCTCAACCACTATTGATATATTTTTTTTTCAATAGTTGTTGTTATTTCAAGAGCTATTTGATGTGTTTACACTGTATATCTTGTACAATTTTGTATATTCTGTATCAGTTGGACTGATTTTGGGGACAGACTAATTAATTAAAGCATCTTTTATCTGTATGATGGCAAAATCGGTAAGCGTCCATGACTTTGTAAAGTGGAACAACTTCAAATATTTACAAAGTACATACCAATTGTTCCTTTTGTAATACCATATATGGAAATTTTAGCGAGACGCAAATTAAGCGATTTGTCATTTAAGGTACTTGGACACA